AGGCATGGGGATGGCTGTGCAACACAGAGAAGACAAGTAGTGATTCTACAGCATCTTACTACGCTGATGGACAGTGACTGTGAAGGGGTATGTGGGGGGGACTTGATGAAGGGAGGAGCCTAGTAAACATAATGTTCTTCATGTAATTGTAGATTAATGATACCAAAATTAAATTAAATTAAATTAAACTGAAAAAAAAAACTGAAATGTTTTAATTTCCAGTCTGGCACATAAGGAGTTTCGAAGTTACCATTGGAGCCTAATTATAAGAATATAGTAAATTATTTTCCATTTACCCCATGGTCCCAAGCACAGAAGCCAGTGAGAATTATGCCTGGACCTGCCTGGGGCTTGCCTGGACTTGCCCCACCTTATTTCTAAACATCCCAACCCTGTCCCAAGGCAACAGGCCAAGGGGTACTTAGCCACAAAAAAAGGAATAATGTTCTGTGTCACGCTGCTGCTCTCTCTCTCTCTTTAGGGGCAGCCACTTTCGCTTTCAGATAATAAAATCTCTTCAATGGGCCCATGTCTCCTGAGTCATTCTGGGGTAAGGACAGTCGTGGCGAGATACCCTTTCATTGGTGCCGTGACTTCGGATGAGGCTCTCCCATTGACTTTGCTCTTCCTCTAGGAACCTGAGCTGCTTTGGGAACCCTCACTACCCGATCCTCCACCACGGGCTCACCATCCATTTCCCCTGTCGCTCATCTTGTCGCCAACACCAGCCTTTGATTTGGTAAGTCTCCCCTTCATGATTGACATAAATGTCCCTTTGGAACCTGGGAAGTGACCGTTGAGTGTCCGGCACCCCCAAGGGCTACTCTGGGACAGGGGCACCCCCAGCCATGACTTTCAGAGTCATGGTTGATCCCCATAACCAACCCTTCTCTATCTCCCTGTGGTGAGAATCCTCATTCACTGAGGCCTGGTCTCCCTTTATCTACTCATAAATACCTGGTACCATGTACCGATCCTCCTTGACGTTTTCGCTTTGACCACTCAGGTAGAGGTGGTGACGACCCCCTAACTGTGTCTGGTCTTCTCCATGACCTTCTCAATTGCTCAGGGATGCCTCAGCGACTTCTGAACGGTCTCATTCTCACCATGGGAGCTGGTCCTTCATTCCCGCAGATTCACCGCTAAGGTGCTTACTCAGTAATCTAAAACCCCTCCACCTCACTCCAGACCTCAAACCTTTTTGCTACTGTAATGAGATCTGGCCACAATATCCCTTGGACAGTCAGTCTAAATGGACCCCCAGTGACTCCTTAGATCCTAAAATTCTCCACAGCTTATACAACTTCTGTGAGCGTACGGGCAAATGGAAAGAGATCCGATATATTCAGGCTTTCTCCTACCTCCAAACCAAGCTCTCTCTCTCTGTCTCCCCTGCAATCCTAAACATCTACTACGTGTCTTGAAGTCCACACCCATATGCTTTTTTCACGTTGCCAAATATCCTCAACTACCTATAAAACCCCTAGACAATGCACCATGATGGGCTCTCTTGTCTGTCCCCTCCGAGCTCACACCAGGAGCTCTGTCCTCTCACTATATCATTATTTCTCAATCTGTATGTTTGTGTGTCTAAGTGTGTAAATGAAAAATATTTTTCTATCTCCAGATAGTATTAGTAAAAATTGATTTAGAGACAAGCGCTTGTGAAGACTGGGTATTCTAAAACTTCAAGAAAATTCTAACAGAAAATATTAAGCATTAATGCTAATTTAAGTGGAACTGAAATAGAGTAGCCAAGATGGCAGCATGAGTAGGGCAGCAGAAATCTCTTAACAAAACGATACATATTTTTGAAAATGCAACTATTCCTAAAAGAGAAACCAGAAGATACAGGACAACAGCCAGACTACATCTACATCTGTAAGGACTCAGCACCTCACAAAGGGGGTAAGATACAAGACGCAGCCTGGTGGGACCCAAGCACACCCCCCATCCAAGCTCCCTGGTAGGAGGAGAGGAGTCAGAGCAGGGAGGGAGAGGGAGCCCAGGACTGCTAAATACCCAGCCCAAGTCATCTGCACTAGGAGCACAGACACACAGCACATGGTGTGCTGGATACTAGAGAAACGGAACAGTAAAACCTGTGACCCTGGGACAAAAGAAAAACTAGTGCTTTTTGAAAGTCTTAAAGGGCCAGAGGCCTCACAGCTGGACAGAAGTGTCCTGGTACACTCATCCCAGCAGCTAGGAATCCCTTGGAACTACGGGAGCTCTAACCCCATAGGCAGCAGCGCAGTTCTGAGGACCCTCATGGTGATAAACAGACTTCCACCCGTTACCCATCCGCCATGGCCCCGCCATAGCAGAGGACCAGTCTAAGACTGGCCATGCCCACAGCAGCCAATCAGAGCCTCGCCCACAGCTGCCCAGGCCAGACTCAGAAGCCCCGTCAGCATGTAGCTGCCCAGCACAAGCCACTAGGGGTCACCGTTCTCACACAAAGGGAAGGCAAGAGGCAAGCAGGAACTGACTTTGTTCTCCCAGCAGACATATGCACCTACGGCTACATCTATCACCATGAAAAGAAGAATTTGATACAGACAAGAATAACACAGATAACCCCTGAGAGGGAGCCTGGGGAGATAGATTTAACCAATCTTCCTGAAAAAGAATTCAAAATAAAGGTCATAACCATGCTGATGGAGCTGCAGAGAAATATGCAAAAGCTAAAGGAGCAAGTACAGAGGGAGATTACAGAAATAAAACAATATCTGGAAGGACTTAAAAGCAGAATAGATGAGGTGCAAGAGACTGTTAATGGAATAGAAATCAGAGAAAATGAACACAGAGAAGCTGATGCAGAGAGAGATAAAAGGATCTCCAGGAATGAAAGAATATTAAGAGAACTGTATGACCAAACCAAATGGAACAATATCCACATTATAGTGGTACCAGAAGAAAAAGATAGAGGAAAAGGGATAGAATGTGTATTTGAAGAAATAATTGCTGAAAATTCCCCCAAACTGGGGTAGGAAACAGTCGCTCAGATGACGGAAGTACACAGAACTCCCAACATAAGGGACACAAGGATGACAACACCAAGACATATAATAATTAAAATGGCAAAGATTAAGGACAAGGACAGAGTATTAAAGGCAGCCAGAGAGAGAAAAAAGGTAAACTACAAAGGAAAATAGATCATGCTATCATCAGACATCTCAACAGAAACCATAAAGGCCAAAGAGAATGGCATGATACATATAATGCAATGAAACAGAAGGATCTTGAACCAAGAATACTGTATCCAGCACAATTATCATTAAATATGAAGGAGGGATTAAAAAATTCCCAGACAAGCCAAAGCTGAGGGAATTTGCCTCCCACAAACTACCTCTACAGAGTATTCTAGAGGGACTGCTCTAGATGAAAGCACTCCTAAGGCTAAATAGATGTCACCAGAGAAAATAAAATCACAGCAAAGAAAGCAGACTAACAAAATATTAACTAAAGGCAAAAAATAAACCAACTACTCACAAAAGCAGTCAAAGGAAACACAAAAGAGCACAGAATAAAACACCCAACATATACAGAATGGAAGAGGATGAATAAGAAGGTAGACAAATAAAGAATCATCAGACAGTGTTTATAATACCTCAATAAGTGAGTTAACCTAGACAGAAAGATACAAAAGAAGCTGACCTCGAACCTTTGGTAACCATGAATCTAAACCCTGAAATGGGAATAAATACATATCTTTCAATAATCACCCTAAATGTAAATGGACTGAATGCACCAATCAAAAGACACAGAGTAATAGAATGCATAAAAAAGCAAGACCCATCCATATGCTACTTACAAGAGACTCACCTCAAACCCAAAAACATGCACAGAGTAAAAATCATGGGATGGAAAAAGATATTTCAAGCAAACAACAAGGAGAAAAAAGCAGGTGTTCCAGTACTAGTATCAGACAAAATAGACTTCAAAACAAAGAAAGTAACAAGAGATAAAAAAGGACATTACATAATGATAAAGGGCTCAGTCCAACAAGACAATATAACCATTATAAATCTATATGCACCTAATACAGGAGCACCAACATATGTGAAACAAATACTAACAGAACTAAAGGAGGAAATAGAATGCAATGCACTCATTTTAGGAGACTTCAACATACCAATCACTCCAAAGGATAGATCCACCAGAAAGAAAATAAGTAAGGACACAGAGGCACTGAACAACACACTAGAACAGATGGACCTAATAGACATCTATAGAACTCTACAGCCAAAAGCAACAGGATACACATTCTTCTCAAGTGCACATGGAACATTCTCCAGAATAGACCACATACTAGGCCACAAAAAGAGCCTCAGTAAATTCAAAAACACTGAAATTCTACCAAACAACTTTTCAGACCACAAAGGTATAAAACTAGAAATACATTGTAAAAAGAAAGTAAAAACGCCCACAAACAGGGGGACAGAGCCAGGATGGCGGCGTGAGTAGAGCAGTGGAAATCTCCTCCCAAAAACACATAGATCTATGAAAATATAACAAAGAAAACTCTTCCTAAAATAGAGACCAGAGGACACAGGACAACATCCACACCACATCCACACCTGCAAGAACCCAGCACATTGCGAAGGGGGTAAGATACAAGCCCTGGCCCAGCGGGACCCGAGCGCCCCTCCCCGCGGCTCCCAGCGGGTGGAAAGAAAACGGAGTGGTATTTTTTTTTTGGCGAGTGCTTTTTGGAAGCCTTAAAGGGACAGGGACCCCGGTGGTAGGGAGGCAGAGCAGCAGGACCGGTGAGCGGGTGCCTGGGACCGGCGCCTGAGGACAAAGAATATCACGCGTTTTTTCCTGCGGGACCGGTGGGCGGGTGCCTGAGACCGGCATCTGAGGACGGAGGAAATCGCATGTTTTTCCCCTTTTTTTTTCTCCTTTTGGCGAGTGCTTTTTTGAAGCCTTAAAGGGACAGGGGCCCCAATACCAGCACAACAGGGCAGCAAGACTGGTGAGCGGGTGCCTGAGACCAGCGCCTCGGGACAAGGAAAATCGTTCATTTTTCCCAATACTAGGGAGGCAGGGCGGCGGGACTGGTGGGTGGGGGCCTGGGGCCGGCACCTCAGGACAAAGAAAATCGCTCTTTTTTCCCTTTTTTTTTTCTTTTGGTGAGTGCTTTTTGGAAGCCTTGGAGGGATGGGGACCCCAATACCCGGGAGGCAGGGCAGCAAGACTGGAGGGCGGGTGCCTGGGACCGGTGCCCGAGGACAAAGAAAATCGCGCGTTTGTCCCATTTTTTCCTTTTGGCAAGTGCTTTTTGGAGGCCTTATTGGGACAGGGACCCCAGTGCCAGGGAGGCAGTGCGGCAGGGCGGCAGGGCTGGTGAGCAGGTGCCTGGCACTGGCGCCTCGGGATGGAGAGGGTCACGCGTTTCTCCCTTTTTTTTTCTTGGCGAGTGTTTTTTGGAGGCCTTGGAGGGACGGGGACCCCAGTGCTAGGGAGGCAGGGCAGCAGGACCGGTGGGTGGGTGCCTGGGACTGGCGCCTGAGGACAAAAAAATCGAGTGTTTTTTCCTTTTTTATTTTTTCTTTCTGTTTCCTCTCTCATTGTTGCTGTTGTTGTTTTGGTTTGGAGAGTGCTTCTTGGAAGTCTTAAAGGGGCAGGACAGGACACTTAGACCAGAGGCAGGGAATCTGGGGATCTCTGGGAACTCCAACCCCCTGGGCAACAGGGAGCACAGAGGCCCCATACAGAGATAAATAGCCTCCC